CAGGCTCAAGATGTTAAGCTGTGATTACTGGGTTTCACCTCTCTTGCTCATAATGGCTCTATTGCATCCAAGGTGCAACTAATCAATGCTGCTGTGCACTTAAGCAGACTTTGCAGTCGATCTTTGAGTCAACTGAGAAACTAATGGTGAAAAATGAACATAATTTGAGCATAGATAGTTCAAAATCATTTAATTTCTTTACTCTGAAACCAGGAAATGGCTGCATGGTGCTGCAGTGGGAAGCGCTGCTGACTGGCAACAAGAAGCTTCTTGGTTCAAGTCCCAGTCAATTCTTTCTGCATGGGGTTTGCATGTTCTCCCTGTGCATGCTTGGGTTCTCTCCGAGTACTCCAGCTTCCTCCCACAGTCCAAAAACATGACTGTTTGGTTAATTGACTTCTCTAAATTGTCCATAGGAGTGAGTGTGTGTTTGCATGGTTGTGTCTTTTTGTTGGGTGGAGACCGGCCCCACAGCAACTCTAACTGAATAAATGGGAGAAGATGGATTAAACCAGCAAACTGAAAAATAATCCAAATTGTTGGTTTGGGGCTCTAAGCCGCAGCTTATGCCACTTATGCCTTCGGTTGGACTATTGCACTACTTCTAAAACTGCTTGGCATATTCCAGTAGGTTTTGGAAGTTTTTCATGGGTGTAACCCGCATACTTGGCTCTGCAGTTACACCCACTACTGCTTTTTACTGACAAATGTGCAACAATTATGCTATTAAAAAGATACATTCAATGGAATAAAACAAAATAAATTGTCCTTTATTACTCTGAAGTGAGGAATTTAAGTTGTATTAGTACCAGACACAAGCAAGGAAAGAGTTTACAACAGAAAAAAAATACAGTAGTTTTCCAAAATGGCAGACGGATTAAATGACAACTGAGTGTAGTGATTTTGAAAGGTCACAAAATGTACATCGTGTATAAAAAAAGCAATAGATTATCTTTGAAAAGGCAAATAACTGCATATATAATGACCTAAGTTTATAAATACCTAGACTACAATAAAAACACATGGTTTTATACTCAGCAGTTTATTTATATGCTTGTTTTCAACTGGACTCTCTGAACCCGGCTGACTGGATGAACCATTATTCATAGTAATGTAAATAAATGTAAAGCATAAAGATTCTGTAGACACTTGCTCAACATTGTTTTTTTTGTCTCCGGCTTAAAAATGGCTCTGTGACTACTCCTACAGTGCTTAGAGAATGAAATCTATTTATAAAACTTTAACAAGATCACTGATGTCAGGCTAAAGTAATAATTCATACTAGTAGATCTAACTACTGCAGCACCACCTGTCCCAACCATCAGGAAAACAATTCAGTATTATTGCATCAGAAACCGAGGTGGGTAGTAAGTAGTTATATTTACTCAGTTACATTTACTTGAGAAACTTACTTGAGTAGTTTTAAAGCGTTGCACTTTTTACTTTTACATAAGTACAAATATAATAAAGTTTCACTACTCTTATTTGAGTAAAATGTCTGGCTGCTCCCCCCATTGTGTTTTAAACAAATCTGCACCATTAAGAGAAATACTTTCTTCCTTTTTGTAATCATGGCTTAGTAGTTTAATGCTATTTATACTGCAATTTAACCTGTTCTTACATACTATAAGTATTGATTTTCCAAATTTCATAAATCGAAATGTACTTTGAAGAGTGTTCGTTCCACCCAATTTGTTTGTGTGTGTAATCACTGTATGTTATGTTTACTTTTATGCTTTGAACACCAGAAATTGTATATCAATTGATAATTTGTTAAATTTTACATAATTTTGTAAAGTATTAAAGGTATACTATGCAACCGGTGTTGATTTTCCAGCGAGGCTTCCCCCAGAGGTCGAAAGTAAAAGTGCACTGTTGTAAATATGCACAGCAGTGTCCTGGTTTCTCCGTCAAGCCAGGCGCGGTGTTTTGAGCTTAGCAGACAGGCGAATGCAACGAATGACTAACACAGTGAAAGTATGAACATGCACACAGAGAGAGAGAAACCATTCCAATGTTACTTACAATCGCATCAGCAGAAACGCGAGGTCCGCGTCAGCCTTGCAGCCTTCTTTTTATTTTAGCTCTCGCCATTCGGAAAAGCTTGCCCGATGTTCACCCGTGTACGACTCCTCTCTCTGTCCGGAGCCCTTTTCCTCTTTCTTGCCTGCTCCGACATGGGCTTTCGCTGTTTTCACGCTGGTTCCGCCATGATAACTGCACAAAGATCGCCACTGTGCTAGCAACAAGCATGCTTTTAACTGGGGGCGTGTAGCATTTCTCGCCGTAAAGCAAGACCGACTCTCGCGAGACTTCTGAGCCTGTGGGTGCGGGCCGAGGGCTCCTGCAATTGCAAGTGCGGTATTTCCCCCACAGACCACCAGGGCGGCCGAGAATACCTTTGTTCAACCTCAAATGACTCATTTAATCATCCAAAACGTTATGGAACACATTAATTAACTCAAAAATGTTGCATAGTGTGCCTTTAAATTAGTTGTTATGGTCTTGGTTAGTAAGAAGATCATTTGCCTAGTATTTGAGGAGCCTTTTTTACTGTAGTTTGAGTAATGTAAGCTTTGGATACTCTGCCCACCTCTGATCAGAAACTAATAGACTGAAGAAAAGTTTGTTTCCCAAAGTTGAAAAGGTGATCACCTCCCTGCTGGCAATAACTAAACATCCCTTCTAAAAAATCCACTACACCTCCAGCCCATTTCAGAACAAACTGCACATTGTGTAAATACTACAAGCTACAATCCATGAATATATGTTCTTGTGTTACATTTTCAGTTTTTTCTGATGTAATTAAAGTGCTATTAATGTATTTCTGTGTATTGTATGTAAAGGTGGTTTCTCCCAGAAAACAGTTACGATTGCATCAAAATGACGATGTAAACTCTTGATTCAGTTATGGGAGCATAAGGATCAGATCAGGGTATTAACCTTTTGCCTGCACAGGTTTAGGGTCTTGGGGCAGGGTAGGTCAGAGAGGCGGAGAGAGGGGTGTAAGTACAAACCCTAAGCTTTGTTGTTGCTGGGATGTCACAGCAATAGTTACACTTTTAGCTTCTTGCTAATGCAGCTAAGTCTCCAAGCATGAATGTTTACTCCATTGTTGACTTCAGATCTTAGTCTCCAACAGAAATTGATCTCGCTGCTTCCTCTTCACTCTTGTTTGTTCCATCAGCACTTTTGAAAACAGTCTGCATATTCATGCAGCATCAGCTATGGTCACCACGGCAGCCTTAACGACCCGCCCCCTGCCTTCGCTTTTTGTTTGGATTGGTTGAATTGTGTGTTTGACAGATCAGAGATGGGAATGCTAAAAAGTTTGCCACTCTGGAGTGAACACTTTCTTACAGTCTATAAAACGTTAAACATTTTCTCTCAGTGAGGAAAAGGGAGGGCGACAGAAGAGCTACCTGAGACTGTTGTAAGTCAACTAAAAGACACATTTTTTTCAGTTTTTTTTTTGTCTAGATGTTCTTGTTTGACCTTGAAAGCCCAAGACAGATTATGCTGGCATCAGTGAGCATCTCCTTAGCTGATGTTACAAGGAGTGATGTTACAAGTCTCACTAAAACTCATCTCTCCGCTCTATTAAATGTTTAAACTATTATTAAATTTTTTTTTGAATATGAAATAGAATAAACAGTGGCTTCCTGTACGCTGCATGCATCAGTTGTTTTGATGTATTTCTTCACTTGTGGCTGACTTTTTTCCTAAAAGTTGAGGATGGCAGTTTTGCTAATTTAGTAAACTGAAAAAGAGGAAATAACACTAAATAAGATAAGTAAATCCTGAGAGTAGTGCTCTCTGGTGTGAGCTGTGCTGCTGCCATCACACCTTTGTTTAAAGATGTTCGAGCTCTGCCTGTTTTTCAGTATTGTCCTGTTTCTCTGACTGTGACTGGCTGGATGTGCTCTCTTAATCCTCTGACATGGGAGCTGGCTCGGAGCTCGTCTGCCTGGCTGTGTGTTTACTGGATGGGGCCGTTTGTTTACAGTTGCGTTTTGTATCTCCATTTCTTTCTGTATGTCTGCTTCAGTCTCCTTGAACCCCAGTCGGCCTCGGCAGATGGCCGCTCACACCGAGTCTGGTTCTGCTGGAGGTTTCTCCCTGTTAAAAGGGAGTTTTTCCTCTCCACTGTCGCTACAAGCATGCTTAGTGTGAGGTATTGCCTTGGAGTCAATGAATCGATACAATCAACTGGTTTTCCTCAGATAGAGAACTTTGAAGCAATTTGACTGTATGATCTGGTTGAATTGTAAAGTGCCTTGAGATTGTCATTTTAAAATGACGAGAAGGTTAAAAACAATTAAAGGAAATTGTTTACAGGAATTTGTTAGATCCAGTGTAAATGATTTATTTTCTTATATTTAGCAAAAATATTGAAGCACAGAGAAATGAATCATTCTGAAAATTTTCAGCCAGACTCGTTGGTCAGAAAAGGAAAAAATCCAATATTTTTTCATCTGTAAATGCACCCTAATAAAATCTTACCCTGGGGCTTTCTAGCGTTGACTCTTCAAAGTCTATCAGGGCCACTGTGAACACACCAAAGGGTGAGAGGGAGACTTTTGTGTTATATATCATTAGATAGTATAGTTAACAGACTAATCATACTGACTTCAATGTCATGTGTTGCGCTACACATGGAATACAAGCCTAATATTAAAAACAGTTAGTTTGCTGAAACACATCCAGGTAACCTCTTGAAGGCAGAATTTTTCAGCTGCTTTTTCACCAATTCGACATAATGTCCCCAAATCAGATACGAATTGATGTTATGCATCTGACAGCTACTTTCTGTTCCCCGAGTGGTATGAAATAGCAAAGGTATGGTGAAAATGGTGAAGGAGGAATTTTAATTTTCAGGCTCTGACCAGTCCAAACATTGGCCATAAAAATTAGAGCTGAAAATCTTTAGGTTGTTGTCTAATGGCCAATTATTTGATGAAGTTCTTTAACTCTGACTGTTTTTGTTTGTCTCCATTCAGGACCACAGGACCTCCAGAGTAAAGAGACTATCTCCTGTGCAGTCATGTGACTGACCTGGCTCTTTCATTTTAAGGTGGGATCTCCCCTTCGCATGCTGACTAGCCCTGGATGCCCCATTCTCGCCATGAGAGGTCTCACCACCCTGCCCTCATACTGGCGCTGCCACTGTGCCGCATGAGCGCCCCCTTCCCCTCCTGCAGTTACTGCACGGAATGGCCTCTCTGGACCTGCCATACCGCTGTCCTCGCTGCGGGGAGCACAAGCGCTTCCGAAGCCTTTCATCCTTACGAGCCCACTTGGAATACAACCACACATATGAAACCCTTTATGTCCTCTCCAAATCCAACAGTGTATGCGACGCTGCTGCTCTGCTGCCCCTAGTGGCCGAGGGAGCTCTCCTCACACCTGCCAACAACAACGACCCTTTCGAACCGCTTCGGCCTTCAGCTCTAAAGGAGCGGCACTTTCCCTGCAGGGAGCTTCCCTGCGCAGACGACCTCAGCCTGACGCCGGCTAACTCCAACTCTGCAGCCAGGTACATTCCAAATGTGGAGTTCCCCCTCGGGGAGATCTTTATGAAGAAAGCAATGACATCCACAGACCCGGGTACCCATGGAAACCCCAGCACAGCTGTGGCTGTGGCTGCAAATGTGGCAGCTAGTGCCGTAGAGGCAGCTTATGAGGAGGGTCTGGCCAGGCTAAAGGCGCGGGCGTTCGAGCGGCTGGAGCTGGACGAGAGGCTCGAGAAGCTATCAGAGGAGGTAAGTGGGATTGCCACTGCTATCAGAATAAACTTTATCAGCGGGAGATGTATTAAAAGCCTCACTCTGGTGGCCTTGCACTTGATCAGAGTGCAAGTCTGATTTCTGGAGGGGGTAATTGCATAGTGCAGAAGCAATCAAGGAAAATACTTATCCCCTTCCTCCTTAGACTGGACATTAAACCATCAATGAAACTTGTCTTGACACGCTTCTGCTTTTAAAGAACCTTGAGCTCAGCAGCAGAGAGAACTAATGAGATCATTAGAGCCACAGTTATACAGGTGGCAAACTTAGACCAGCTTATGTTACCTGTAAGAGGCATAGACTCGCTAAACCTTTAATCAAAAAGGTGGTTTCATAAATAAATTAAATATGTAAGAAGAATTTAGTTAGCACGCAGCATCAGCTAATGCAGCTAGAAACCATCAATCAGATTTGAAATCTGGGTGTAATGTTAGACTCAAGATTTAAACCTTCAGAGGTACATAAAATTAATATATTACCTAAAGAACATCTCAAGGATGAAAGGATTATCTTGGCAGGATCTTGGAAAAACTATTTCGTGTTTTCATCTTTTATAAAACTGCTACAGTGTCTTCACAAGTGTGGCAAAAAAGTTGATAAGACAGCTGCAGCTAACCCAGAATGCTGCTGCCCACGTCCTCACCAAAACTAAAAAAAGTGGAGCACATCAGCCAGTTTTAGTCCCAGTCACTCAGTGAATATACTTTAAAATAAGTATGTTATTCTATAAATCACTGAATGGCTTAGCTCAAAAACACATTACAGACTTGCTGTCAGTGTATCTACTGGGCATACACTGTATGATTATTAAAATCATTGTACTAAGCTACAGGGCAAACTGTATGATGTAATAGCAGGGTTTAAAAGTTCACAACTGACGATGCATGTTCTTACTGCCCGACACTCTGATGCGATCTAACTGCTCACACTGTATATCCAAAAACCACATGTCGACCTCGGCGCCGAGAGATGGCGCTGGTTGGACTATTGCCTCTTAACCCACTGTACACTAGACGACGCGGGACGCATGATGAAGCTGAAACTCAGCCCGATCCAAAAAAAATCTTGCACGACTGTACAAAAACTAGTACAGTGTATGCCCGCCTTAAAGTCTACTTGCTCTAATCTACTTTACATACCTAGAACCAAAACCAAACATGGAGAAGCAGCTTTTAGTTCTTATGCTCCTAATCTAAGCATAAGAATCTAATCTGAAATAAACTCACAGAAAACTGTAAAAGAGCTGAAACCCTACCTTGCTTTAAATCGAGATTTACTATTAGTATAGCAGGACAGTGTGCAGTTGAGGATTTTATTTTTTCGACTTCCTGTTGTGTTTATCTTTAGTGCACAACCTTGAAAGACTCCGGCTTAAAGCTTTTTGTAATATGTAAACAGCCACAAAGTTAGAATGTATGTGCTAGATCAAGAAACAGTGAAAGAAAAGAGTTGGTGAGATGATTTGCAAATACAAATCTTAAAAGTCTGATTTTGAGTTAGATCCTGTGTGGAATCGTATAGAAGTTTATAGACTTCTATACTTTATAGAAGTATTTTTACACCTTTACAGATCCCCAATGTTGAACACCTCTGATCTAAACGGTTTAATATTAGCTCTATGTTTAGAGTTTCTGACCTACTGGTGGCTGAACTTCTGCCATGGTCTCAAGTGTTCTGTTCTCACTGGCAGCAACCCAGTCTGCTTAACTGGGAGTACGTCGCTAGGGCTGCAGGCTTAACAGAGAGGGCCAGACTTCCCTTTACCACATACCTCCTTCAGCTCCTCTGGGGGAAGCCCAAGGCTCTCCATGACCAACCAGGAGTTGTACTCTCTCCAGTGTGCTCTGGGCTGCCCCCAGGGCCTCCTTCCAACTGGGCATGCCTTGAACTGATGGAGGCATTTAGGTGATGTGTTTTGCAGCCTTTAAATGATTTCTTTCAGACATGTCATCTATTTAGCTTCAGTAATCTCTATCGATCCTGACCAGCTTTCTTTTTTTGTTTCTGTAGAAACACATCCCCAAAACATAATACAGTTTTGATCATAACAGACAAGAGGTTCTTTGTTCAAATCTTTGCTGTGTTCCCTACCAGGCTGGTGGAAACAGGGCTTCTTATGGTTTGCTTTCAATGTTCCCTTTTTTTCCACTCACACATTAAGAGTGGTAGATTTCTGGATTGTTTGACCAATGGTTGTCCTGAAGCCTGTTTCACAAAGCAGGTTTAACAAACTCAGACTCAAATCATCAACTCTGAACCGATCTAGCATAAGGTTGAAACTGAGTTTTTGGTTTCATAAAAGTTGCTGTGAGTTAGTTGAATGAGTAGTTTCACTCAGAGTAAAGCAGGTACGTAACAAGTATGAAAACCTATCATCAGCGGAACACCGATTGAACTAGTCATCATGATGACAACAGAAAGTTACTATTTTACACCACTGGAGCTACAGATTATAAATCAGAAATGATAAAGAAAATTTGAGAAAGTGTTTAAAAGAAAGAGCAACAGCACCACAGCTGCAAAGGAGAGGGATCTGGAGGTGGAGAAGATTGCTTAATATGATTAAGCTTAATATGAAGTGTTCTATGGCAGGCTGTTTTAATATATATAGGCACTCCCCTCTGTTACATTTGTAGATCACTAAAATATAATTCTTAGTGGTCAAAATCATATTCCTAGTCAGAACTGTAATAAGAGATTTTTGAATTACACTATGTCAGCTGATACTAAATTTCAGAAAGTGAAAAAAACAAAATTGTAAAACTTAAATTGTATATACTGTACCTAGAAATGTTTTCACATTTTAAGTGGTCATTTTACTTTTATCAGCTTGACTGAAAATATATTTATGACATCTAAAATACATTTATTTCTGTTCAAATACAAATTATTTTCATTATCAATAGGAATATGGAAATCTGAAATAAAATTTTAAATATTAAGAATGTTCATTTAGGGTATGAAGATTTCTTTGAAATGTTCATTTCAGCAAGGAACAAAATCATTTCAGATATCAAAAGCACCTATTCAGACAAAATAATAAATATCGAAGATGCCATTGGGTGTTTTAATCCCAATAGCATTAAGGGAGAAAACTACTTTACTGCTTGAATGATAGTGGATCAATGCATCTATTTAGATGCAATCACCTCTCAGCAGTTGAAGATGAAGTATAACAACGTTGTTCTAACAGGCAGGACCTGTGCATCATTTTATGGGATTCCTCTTCATTTCGATCCTGTCTTCCATTACACCAGAGCCTCTTTCCCACTGAAATTAGCAGGTTAACGCTTGTTTTTCAAACACGCTTCGACCTGCTAAGAATCAGCATTTGGCTGCCTTCCCATTGGCAAAACGAAGTTGGGTCTAACCCCTAACTGGCAAGCTGTGTGGCTTCTGTCCCTCTGCCGCTGGGTGTCTAGTAACACCATCACCCAGGGTTGGCATTGATGCTGTCACCTATGTGACAGAAATCAGGAAAGTAAACAATAGAGAGCAACATGTAAGTGTGCTTTATTGTTTCGCTCTTTTATCTGTCCGATTCACTCTTACCACTGCTGCGCCATGTATGATTAATATAAAAACAGACTTTTTTGGCGGGTTAGATCAGACGCAATTGTTGTGTTGTGTTGACATCTGTATGTTGCGTTCAATGGTATGGCATAAATTAGCGGGTAAACCCAGGTCACAGCATGCTGATCAGAGCTGAGGCGATTTAAACATGGGTCGTTTGTCAAGTCGTTTGACCCGGGTAGACGCACGTTAGTGAGCTTTTCCCACTGCCACTAAATGTCAGTTGTTCCCAGACTTAAACAGGTTTTTAGGCCAGTTAGAAAGGTTCTCTTAAATACGTGCTAAAGAAGTGTGTGTAATACTCCAAATGTGAGGACTGATATAAGGTCTGATGGATTGTGACCTGAAACGGCTCATAAAGATAATTTTCTGAATATGAAGGTACATCTATACGTGGTCTGAGAACCCTCGCCCTATAAATATTTAATTCACTGCAAACTAATGCCGCTCATTCTTTAATTAGATCCTCATCAAAAGGACCAGCTATGGTTGTGTTTTTTAACACTTAAAGTCTCTAACGTATCTGGTGAATGATTTTCTTTTTATTATTCGCACCAAACTACGACAGAAATGACTGACTAATTCATCAAATAAAACATGTTTGGCTTTAAGGAGAGTGAAGATAGAGGACACTCTGAGTATATTGAGAAAAACCTGCTCCCAACAGTTTAAGCTCTGGGGAGAATGTTACTACAGTAACAAAAACAAAGGTTGCGTGAACTCTTCTCGAAACAGAAAATTTAGATTTTGCCTGATTTCAGGTTTAAAAAACATCCAGTTTTCAATAAAGCTGCTTATTGAAACGGGCCGCTGGTAACAGATTCATCCACCAGCTGCTCCTTTTCCAGAGTTACCAGAAGCTTTTTTGCCAAGTCAGCTCATGAATCCCCTCCTTGCTCAGCTTCTTTCAGTTTAGGTGACATATCAAGTTTTGCTAGATTTGCAATTATACCATCAATTTCTTGTATACTATATCTCTTGTAACTGTATGATGTAATAGCAGGGTTTAAAAGTTCACAACTGACGATGCATGTTCTTACTGCCCGACACTCTGATGCGATCTAACTGCTCACACTGTATATCCAAAAACCACATGTTGACCTCGGCGACGAGAGATGGCACTGATTGGACACGTCAGTGTAGAAAAAGAACTGGACTCATTACTTCTTTGAACATGCGCAGTTCCTAGGGTTCTGGTAAATTGGCTCGTAGATTCTCTTAGCTCTGATTCAACAGCAGGATTTGCCCATGAAACGGGCCGCTGGTAACAAATTCATCCACCAGCTGCTCCTTTTCCAGAGTTACCAGAAGCTTTTTTGCCAAGTCGTCTCATGAATCCCCTCCTTGCTCAGCTTCTTTCAGTTTAGGTGACATATCTGAGTGCTCTATGACATGTTTCAAGCTTGGGGTATTGTATTTTGAATTCGTCCTAAATGAGGTATTTTATGCACATCATATTATTTGGAAACAGATATTTGACTATTTAAGTCAAAGTAATGTCAATAAAAATGTGTAATAGATTCAATATTTGTGAGACATTTATATACTTTTTGTGAACTTGTGGTAATTACTTTGCATTAGTTTGTTTGCATTTTGTAGAGGTCCATTCAGTATAGAGATGACATTATGTATCTCAAATCGTTGGTCTTCTGGTTCTGTAGGTGGAGCAGAAAATAGCGGCCCGTGTAGGCCGTCTTCAAGCAGAGCTGGAGAGGAAGAGCTCTGAGCTGGAGCGGGCCAAGCAGGAGAGCGAGCGGCTGAGCCAGGAGAAACAGGACCTGGAGGACAAGGCCTCCGAGCTGTCTCGGCAGGTGGACGTCTCTGTGGAAATGCTGGCCAACCTCAAACAGGACCTGGTAAACAAAGAGGCGGAGCTAAACCACAAACAGCAGTAAGAGAACTTTTGGCTTCCTAAGATTTATTATACGGCTACAACAAAGTGAGTTTGCTTGGTGCAGTTTTAAGCATAATTCTCAAAATTTTATATGAATTACACCGAATAGAAAAAAAAGTTTTAATAACAGGTGGACAAAGTGGCCCCTTGTGGCAAATGATCATTAACATTAATGCGAGTTCCAAGTTGTGTGGGCGAGCCTCTGATTAACAAATGCAGCTGCTACCTGCTCATTTCAAATGAAGACTAACGCTGACTCCCGCTGCCCAAATTAGTGCACAGACACAAACAAGTGGAACTGTTAATAACCAGGAGCTTGTAATTTACCGACAACACACTTTTCCTCTTGTTACAACACAGCCTATGGAAACACTGTGACTGTATTTATTATTACAACTTTCTTAAAAGCGGCTTATGTGACTCTAGATAATCCTGCAGTGCTTAACTCACAGCTTCCTTCTTCATGGCCACTTAAAACCAATCCACCTTCCACACAAAAATTAAGGTGTTTTTTCCTCATTTGCATATGCATTTGTAAAACAAACACTGCTTGGTGTAGGGTTAATATAGGTCCCAGTAACAATTATGCACAAATATTTATAAAGGTTTTATGATCTGATCAGAAAATGATAAATTGCCAAACAGAAAAACAAAAGGACTTCAGATAAACAACACAAAAATTATGGTTCACTGGGGATCAGAAGGGTCAATGAGAAATTTTAGATATTATAAAACACATATCCGGTTCTACAAGGGACATTAGAGACAGGCAAATAAAAAATATTTCACAATTATCTGCAGTCATTGTGACCATAAAACAAGGCAATAACAACACAATAGAGATTCTGTGCACTTGTAAATAGATTGGGGATATTATTTGGGACATGTAGCGGCACATGACAGTCACTTAAAATTAAACCAAATCAAGAAACACAATGACTGAACTTAAATATTGTGACATGTCTATAAAAAAAAGTGTTGCATCTATCGGTCATATCCTAGTGTTCTACAAGGTCAGGTGCTGATTGGATGGATGGATTAAAGCAGCCGGGCAGGTAGCAGTAAGCTCATCACACACATCCTGCCAGTGTCTTCGTAAAGCTGCCAAGCTGCTTCACGAAAGTAGTGCTCTGTAAATAGACTTGGACATAAATCTGGAATCAGGAAGCAAGTTGAACATGATGTTTTCAGAGCTGTTATTAAAATTAGTCCCAGACGGTTTCCAGACACAGGTATTACTTTTAGTTTGAAGCTGTAAGCTGTGTAAAAATGTTTTCACTGCAGTACCCAATAGGTTCACACATATGACCTAGTTTTTTGATATGTGACTTGAAAAATATTAGGATGAACCACTAATAATAGTGATTCAAATAAAAATACAATAGGCAGTTTCCACGGCTTTAATAGCCTAACCAGACATCCATTAAAAACAGGGAGCCCTGTTACCCTGCCACCCTGGTAAAGGGCTACACTTGGGTGAAAATAAACAACAACAAAAAGCTCAGGGCTGCTGCACTACTCCTGGGAGATTGTCTTTAATAAAACTAAATTTTTTATGCAATCACAATAAATGAAACTCTTAAAATGAAACACGTTAGTTTTCAAAGATGAGCAGACATTTCAGAAAGCACCAGGACAGAACTAAGAAGTGTGTGAAAAGAATTATGACAGCAAGGAGATAAAAACAACTTATTCCTTTGGACATTTATTTAGCATAATTCTGTTTTTTTATGTTTTTGTTGCCAAGTTGTATTCATAATGAGATATCGTCTTTTGATATTTTAGTCATCTATCTTAAATTACTGAAGATGATGTCAAAAAGTCCTCTGGGAAAGTTTCTCAATCCAGTAGTTAGGATGTAATAAATCAAATGGATTAGGTGTGAACATGACCTTTTGTTGCTGTTTCATTAATTTACTATCAAAAGCATGCTCAACTTTCAGCTTTTATTTATGTGTGTTTAAATTCATCTAAAAAATACTTTATTATTTCAAAAGGGAAATTAAATCTTGCCATCTTGTCATCAAACAGGAATCCCAGGGAAGGGAATTTTCCGCAGGTTCAATATTCTAAGATGCCGAGATCTGCATCCCCTGCTTAGTTTCAGAAATAATGTGTTTAGAATGATGGAAGTTTTCCCACATAATCATAAATATTCTGTGTGATTATGTATGAATTTCATTTCCAAAAAGGTAAGAAATGATGGCAAAAGTCCTTCAAATTGTAATGCATCCAACACCGGAGGCAAAAAACCTTGGAATAAAAATAAGCTAGCAGAGCTACTCCAACTTGCAGCCACCTTATTAAGCAACGCAATTCTACTTTTTCAGTTTAAGTACTTTGGTAATTATCTGCATAGGGCGGTGGGGTTGAAGGGATGCAGAGGCTTTATTTCACATCAAAGGGGGACCCATCAAGAGAAATTTGAAACCATTGCTTTAATGTATAGGAAAAAAAAAAACTCTTTAATTTGTTGCTGGGCAGAAGATTAGTGCCTGTATAAAAAAAAAGGTTTCTTAAAAAGAATGAATGATAAGATGTCAAAACTTTGAAACAGTTTATTTTAAGATGAATAGGAGAAATACATTATTGCACATTCTCCCCTGTGTTATTAGACAGACATAGAAAGAGATATTATCACGCACAATACTCAGCTGAAGAACAATTACAGAATGAGACAGAAGAATTTCCCTCTGGGATCGATAAACTGTTCTGATAGCGATGATATTAATCAGGAACATTTTCAGGTTTTAACAGTTAGATGTATTAAGCGGTTCAGTCAATCTGTACAAACACAGCTTCTCACATCACTGCTCTGCATCAGCTTATCTGGAAATAATGGATGGGCTATTCACCAGCACTCAGTAATGGCATAGCTAAATACCATGTAGATAGTAAACAGAAATTTAAATGAACACAACGCATTAGTGCCCGCTGATGATTAATAGCAGCCTCTCATTATCAGTATGAAGTAGCAGTTAGTGGTATCATCTGTTGACTGTTTTCAACTAATTGGTTGGTCTGTAAAAGGGCAGTATTCAAAGTTGTGTGTTTTACAGAACACAATGGGATGGATTCAAATGGTTTTGTTCCTCAATATCATAAACACTGAGATTGGTGTTTGAGAAACATCCATTTTATGATTGACTTGAGCTTTGGTAGTTCCTGGATTATTAATGAAAATGTTAAGCAGTTTCCTCTTATGAATGGTGACAGTTCAATTGAGCTGGTTGAAATCTGGATACTTTTGGGTTTTTCAGGATTCCAAACACACATGTAATATGGTTTTAGAGCCCAATGAACTCATAATGAGCCTCTGGACTAACCCAGGCCTCACTTTATCATTAATTAAATGAATGAGTAGTTAACATGGGGGTTACATGCGTTAACATGAGTAGATATATGTAGATGGGAATTTTAGCCAGGATTTTAATCTTCCAGTGCTGATGTGCTGCTTGGCAAGGCAGTAAATCTCACACTGACCATCTCTAGATGTCTGTATGAGTGGAAAGTGCAATTTACGTTAAGTTTGGTTACCATTTTTTTTAATTCTGGAACCTGGTTTGCCAGGGAATCAGGACATCTAAACAGACTCCACCTTTTCTAAAAATAATGATCAAATGTTAAGTCATAACCATGCAAGAAATGTGCGAAAAGCATAATTATCAAATTTTCAGTGCTACCATTTGTGCATGTGTATGAGCCTGTTTGTTTAAACAGGACTCTGCAATTCATCAGGATTCTTGTTTTTAATGATTGTAGAAATGCTGTGTTTTTTACTAATTCTTCACTGAAGAAGCTGCCATAAGGGGTCTGTAGAAAACCATCAGTTTAATACTTATTCCCATAAAACTTCTCATACTGCTTAAAAAAACAGTTTCCTTTTAAAATAAACATGTCCTTATTTTAGCCAAGATATAAATTAGTTCCTAAATGGAGTTTACAATTTTTTTTTTTTTTATGTTCTGTTGGAAAGAAAATGCACAAGGACAACAGCACACTAAATGTGAAGTTAGTATTTCTAAAAGCTTTCTCATGTTCAAAACTGGGGTTCTCTATTAAAAATTGAAATGTCTTATCTTATGTTTCTTGTTGAAACAGTAAAATAATTAAACTATCTCATTAAAATCCTTCCCTGGTCACACATACACACGTACAGTAATGTGTCTGCCTCTGAGGAAAAGCTGGCATTGAAACAGGCAGCTCATACAGACTCTAAAGTACATCGTTGGTCTGAGGTGGAAAAAGGGCATCACAGTAGGGAGATTTACTGCCAGCTCAATGGCTGGGCAGACAGCAACGAGCTTACTGCCTGCAAATGACTCAGCCCAACACTTCTTGGGTTATTTCAAAGTTTTTCAAGTTCACAAAGGTATTGGTTGCTACAAAGGCTTTCTGAAAACTTCAAGCAGGAGTTATGATTCAGATCAGAGGTGTAGGTTTGTCACCTTTGCATTCAGAACTTCCTCAAACTGCGTTTTTCTTTTAGGAGAACTAAGAATAAAATAACAAGGATTTGATAATTCATCTTGAGATTAAAACCTGGCAATTATGATGAGCAGACACAGTACCCTTAGGTACAGTTGTTCATTTCAGTTCACGCTCCATTACTTTCTCTGTATGCAACAGACGTTTGTATAAATATTTATTCATGGAATCTTTATGCATGACTAACCACTTCAGATATTTTTAATAGTAACTGTAAATACTTTCCTAAAACAATAACAAAAGTGGTTGATTACGGACACGACTCACTTGAGTGTGGCTCTTAACTGGTTTAGTAGCAGCTTAAATACAGAACAGCTGGAATCATTAAAAGACCGAAGCCTGAGGACAAATATAAAACACTAGAATGCTTTGCTTAATTTTCCCTTAAAATTCCCTTTAGACCTTACAAAATTGACAGCAGCCTAAATTCTTTGCAGGCAGAACTAATCACTTAATTGGATGTTATTAGTTCTCTTCCAATGTTATGCTATGGAAGCATTAAAAAGCAA